CGCACCTGTTCAAGTGCTTGCGCACCCAGTTGGCTTAAGATTCCCACCCTCTGAGCCAGCGGGCACCAAGAGGGCAAAAGGTGTTTGGTGAAATGACCAAACTGGATTGAAACATCCCTAGCAGACCTATGAACCTCATGTTTACATGGAGTGTAAATCACAGAATCAAAAATTGCATCCAAGTAAAACCCACAATCTCACAGGCTCGATTGCCCGCCTGTTTCCTTTGCTCCCATGCTAATCCCCTCTTCCTACTTCAAACCCCCCCAATTAATAGAAATAGATCCAGATTGTCATGTTTGGGAAATTTCAAGTTGGTCAGTTTGATCTTTAATTGATCGCCTTTAGATAACAATTTTAAGAAGCACGAACCCATTTGAGGGGATCATCTTTGTACTAAAAATTGATTGGTTGGGGACTGTCTATTATTCGTGTCCCTGATGATAATTTCATTTTCTGATGAGTACTTTAAGGTTTTGATGCGATTATCAGGGGAAAACGACGTAAGCCAATTTTTGGCAATGTCATAATTGTTCAAATAGCTTTAAATATGGTTTAAGATGGTTTAAGTAAGTTAGACTTAAATGTTTTTTGTTCATTGTTGTTCATGCATTTTGCAGGATTGGGGCTTGGGGAGTCTAAGTCCATATCTGTGGCCTTTGTGAAGATAAAACCACAAAATGAGTTGGGATATATCATTTTAGAACCCTGTGTAGACCTCAACCGCTTCCGAGTAATCAATCAAATTGGTTTCTTCATTCTTGTTCAGAGGGTTGTACAGGAATGGCGGGTCTAGGTTCATATCTATGGCCCTTGCGACGACAAATCCACAGAAGAAGTAGGGATATATCATTTCAGAACCTTGTGTAGAACTCAACCGTTTCCGAGTAATTAATTAATCAAATAGGTTTCTTCATTTTTGGAGATATCATTTCAGAACCTTGTGTATAGAACTCAACCGTTTCCGAGTAATTAATTAATCAAATAGGTTTCTTCATTATTGTTTAGAGGGTTGTACAGGAATGGCGGGTCTAAGTTCATATCTATGGCCCTTGTGAAGACAAATCCACAGAGTGAGTTGGGAGATATCATTTCAGAACCTTGTGTAGAACTCAAATGAACTCAACCGTTTCCGAATAATTAATCAAATAGGTTTCTTCATTTTTGTTCAGAGCGTTGTACAGGAATGGCGGGTCTAAGTTCATATCTATGGCCCTTGTGAAGACAAATCCTCAGAGTGAGTTGGGAGATATCATTTCAGAACCTTGTATAGAACTCAACCGTTTCCGAGTAATTAATTAATCAAATAGGTTTCTTCATTATTGTTTAGAGGGTTGTACAGGAATGGCGGGTCTAAGTTCATATCTATGGCCCTTGTGAAGACAAATCCACAGAGTGAGTTGGGAGATATCATTTCAGAACCTTGTGTAGAACTCAAATGAACTCAACCGTTTCCGAATAATTAATCAAATAGGTTTCTTCATTTTTGTTCAGAGCGTTGTACAGGAATGGCGGGTCTAAGTTCATATCTATGGCCCTTGTGAAGACAAATCCTCAGAGTGAGTTGGGAGATATCATTTCAGAACCTTGTATAGAACTCAACCGTTTCCGAGTAATTAATTAATCAAATAGGTTTCTTCATTTTTGTTCAGAGGGTTGTACAGGAATGGCGGGTCTAAGTTCATATCTATGGCCTTTGCGAAAACAAATCCACAGAATGAGTTGGGAGATATCATTTTTGAACCCTGTGTAGAACTCAACGGATTTTGCAGGATTGGGGATTGGGGAGTCTAAGTCCATATCTATGGCCCTGGTAAAGACAAATCCACCGAATGAGTTTGGAGATATCATTTCAGGACGTCTTGTTGCATTGGTGAATGGTTCATGGCACCCCTTAAAAAAGAAAACGCGTTTATGCACTTTGCATGTTTTGGTTCAGGGGGTTGCGCAGCCAAAGCGATAATTTCATATCCATGGTCCATGGCCCATGTGAACATAAACCTGCGGAGTGAACTAGGGTAAATGGGCAAGATTGCACGGAAACCATCTTCTGCTCCAACAGAACCATGCAAAAAAATCAACGTGAAAGTCTAAAAGCAATTCAGGTTCTAATCCCAAGCAGGCGTCCCAACTTAATACCGGACTCCCTCCCAGAGATATCAATCATACTTTCCGCATCGGAAATTTTCTGCCCGGGACATGTGTGTGCTGTAAAAACAACTTACCTAGTTCCGGATGGGATATCGGAGGTGGCACATTACAACATACCACAAAACACTCTAGGAACCAAAACTTCCAAAGGTCTACAATGGGGGAGGGTCAAAGGTCTAGAATTGCTCGCGATCCACATTCTAGAACCCTGGGAGTTATCCCCAGGGGGGATCTTAGACACTTCGTAGTAGAGGGTATATGCATGTTATGTATGTTATGTATGTTATGGATGTAGTGAATGTAATGGCTGTAGTGGATGTATTGGATGTACTGAATGTGATGCATGTAATGTTATGTAATCTTATGCAATGTAATATGTAATGTAATGTGATGATATGTAAAGTTATGCAATGTTATGTAATGTGATGTAATGTTATGTGATGTTATGTAATGTTATGTGATGTTATGTAATGTTATGTAATGTTATGTAATGTTATGTAATGTTATGATGCTATGTAATGTTATGCAATGATATGTAATGTTCGCAGGAAGTGTAGAAGTCAAACTTCAGACAATATGGGCAGATGAAAAGCAGAGCAGGGAAGAGGCAGAGAGAAGAGAAAGATTAGAAGAAAGAAGAGTAGAAGAGAAAGAGTAAGAAGAAAGAAGATGCAGATGCGTGAAAAGGTAGGAAAGTCGCGAAGCACTGTGTTTTTCCAATGATTTGGGGCTCCGGGGGGTCGAAAAGTAGGCTCGCTAAAGCGGCGGGTGCGGAGCCAGCTGGCCAGATGAGAGATGAAAAGTTGCACGCCGTTGTGGCGCGAAGCACATTTCGAAGTCAAAATGTACAAAACACCTGGGTCTCGGAGCACTTTTGGAAGTTGAGATGTCGCGACGTTGTGGCGCGAAGCACATTCCCAAGTTAAAATATACAAAGCACGTCAGCTTCGGACCACTTTTGGAAGTTGCGATGTCGAAACAGTGCACGCCGCTGTGGCGCGAAGCACATTTCCCAAGTCAAAATGTACAAAACACCTCAGCCTCGGACCACTTTTGGAAGTTGAGATGTCGAAAAAGTGCACGCCGTTGTGGCGCGAAGCACATTTCCAAGTCAAAATGCTAAA